ATAGAAAATGTGAATAGAGCAGGGCAGAAGGGGAGATACCACAAATGTTTTGCACACGTTTGGTCAAAGGATGGGCTTCACTTGTCTCTTTGACGAATTGTAGTAAGGTGCTAAGAATGATAACACTAAAAGACGATGCCGACTACGATGCCGGCGAGAGGTCTGGTAATGTACCACGTCCACGGTCCTACTCTTGAAATGATTATGCATACAATGGACTCCGGACTAGGTGTGTTCCTCCAAGTCTTCCTACTAATATGACCGAGTTGCGAAAACAAGGTCAAACAACCTCCATTTATTTTGTGTTCAGAAAATTCCCAAAAATTAACTTGTTCCTACTTTATGAATACCATTATCTATTAAGACATCCATTTTTTTTCTATTTTTAAATTTATGCTAAATAGGTATAACTTTACTTTTCAGAAATAAATGTAAGTGTATATAAATATAATTAGTTAGATAAAAGTACATTATATCTTAATGAATAAAAATATCATTAAACAGTGAAAAAATGAAAAGAGATAATAAACTAAAATTAGATCGATATAGGGATAGCCTTGTAAAACTCACCTGACCAGAGCTTCTCTTCAAAGGCTGCCTTAGCTCTAGTCAACACCTCGGCCATTTGTTCTCGGATTTTGATCCAACTAACCCCTGAGTCTGGTTCGACGCAATCATGTAGAGGAATTCCCCGCAATGACTCGGAAGTAGAAGCAATTGAAAGAGGAGTGGTGGCAGTCGTATACGAGCCTGAACTTTTAGAGGTGTCAAGAGTGGAAGCAATAGACGTGCTATTGGAGGAAAGACAGATATCCAACATATCGATAGTTGCAAAAAGACACGAGAGCCAGATTCCTCCTGTATAAGCACTGAGGGAAAATCGGGTAAAAGTAGAGGTAGGGGAGGATACAAAGGTAACCTAGGTATGGAAGTAATATGAAAAACACGTCTATTACAAATTAGGAATAAGACAAAATTCTTCTTATACAGCCTAACTTCCGGCTATTAAGTATAATATTGACCAAGCGTAATCAAAATACTACACAATGAGTTCAAACATAGAAAATATCAAAGGCATTTGACATACTCAGCACAACTTTTACAAACCATCCAGTGAGATAAATGTACGGATGTCCGAATTAGTGTTAGCACATGACGTTGGAATGACAACAAAAGGATTGAAAATTAACTAAATTAGCTAAAAGTAATGAAGATGGATGATAGTGGATAGAAATATTTGTTGGAAATATTACATAGATATCTAGACAGCATTACATACCAAGTAAATACTCAAATAAATAACTAAAAGGCGTTGAATAAATATGCTTGATGGAAGTGATAATATTTCTTAGGGAAATTGTTAGGATAAATGTGCATCTCGAAGAAATTTGCGTAGCATATCACAAACAAAATGTGCAAAATGATAACACGATAGATAAACCAAAAGAGCTTGCAGGACCAAACGTTTGGCAATAAATCGAACTAATCAGCACAAATTCATTCATAATTAAGCGTTTAAGCAGTCTAATCCGGGACATTTGTGTAAGTGCATACCATCATTAAGGTACAATTATTAATAGAACCGATCGAGAAGGCAAAGTGCAAAATGTTTATTGATATAATAGCTAACATTAAATCTACTGTAAGAACGGATTTGAGAAGAGGAAAATGTTCGAAAAATGTGACCATTATCTTTATATAGAATAGGTAAAAATATGTTTGATGTTGCTTGGTCTAGATTTATAAACGCATCTTCCAAATTGTTTGAGTGATCTATATCATGTTTTACGATGTACTACACAAAATATATTCATGACTTGCTAAGTATCTCATAGGACATCTTTCAAAATAATATAAGAGGAAATAAGAAAATACAATCTTATAGAACAGGTCCCCATTAATGTCGTCACTCCGCTTCAGTTTCTGCATCATAAAAGTATGTGTGATAATGTCTCATCTCCTGTCAGAGCTCACCAAAAACCGGTCACTTATCACGCATTCATCGAGACTAGAGCTAACCTCTATGAACCCAATTTTTGTTAAGTTTTCACTGAAGAGACATACATAGTATGCAACCTTCCAGTATTGTCTTATATGCCTTAATCATTGTCGGCCACCAATAGCCGCAAACCAAACTGTCCGTTCTAATCCACTAGCAATAGATTGAGATTTGCTTGCACCGCGATAATTGATAGCCGGCTATAATATTAACAGTTCCTAGAGTTTAAGTCAAATAACTTAATAAAAACAACAGGTAACATTGTATAAACACTTGGGAATTAAAGCTATAATCACAAAATATGTTGTAAAGTCGAATTTAAAATATCATAGAAAAGATTAAGTTAGACAGAAAAATAAGAGATAAAGTACAAATATCAGTAATTTCATGATTTGTTATGAGCATCAAATGTAAATGAAAACATTGCGAACCTCATAATTGTATAAATATGAGACTCAACTGCATTTATAACTCAATGTGGAATTTAAGATAATAGTATAAAGATAAATATCTT